TTGGACTAGCGCCGCACTTGATAAGAGTCGAACGTTAGAGCGAAAATATTCTTAAGTATCACCCTGCTATCAGCGCTGCAGCCCTGAACCGGGCGTTTATTCGAAAGATTTGAATGCGTGCTTATTCAAAGAGGCTTATGCCTCTTAACCGATTTTCAATTAATATCGAGTTATACAAAACCAAAACCTAAAGTAATCACTCTGGCCAATCTTTACTTATTTTTGAAAACAAGACCACATCCACATCTACATAAGGCGGGTCCTGTAGGGATGCACTCATCACTGCAAGACTAAAATTAAAGGCGAAAAAGGGAGGGAGACGGGAGGAGATAAATTGAAATCCTGCTGGGACTTGGAAATTGGTGTTCTTTAAGTCGATGAACAAGGATGAAAAACTACGAAGGGAAACCACTGCCTAGTACCCGGAACTCCTCTGAGTGCACCGAACATGTGTAAATCACTTGACGGGACGTCAAACTGTATACGTTTTCATGCTGTTCACATAAATATACTTACTGTAATAAAAACTGGATTGGAAAATGCAATTTGAGATTTTTCATTGGCTTAGTCATTATAGGTTGTGTGCCATTATACCATGCTCTACAAATATGTTAAGCGTATGGGTGATTTTGTTGGGGCGTTTTTATGTTTATTTTAGTTTAGTTTTCTATATTTTGGGGGCGCTTTTAATAAAACAGTTATTCCACTCGCGCTTATTGGATATGATATGACTATAGCCATCTCATATCCAACGCGCGCTCGTGGAACAATTGTTAAATATCGGGAGATAATTCTCCCTTTAAGAGTTTATCCACTTTGAGGGCGAGTGTTTACGTCGTTTATGCCTCTCGTGTGTGGATGACAGGCTGAAGCCCATAAAACTGACTATATGTGGGACCTTAGTTAGTTTAACCATTTTGTCACATACAAAACGCGGTTTGGTCTAATGGTCACAACACTTGGTCAATTCAGAAATTTCTTGACTATCGGACGTTCACTTGACGTATTTCTTTTGTAAAAGTAATACGTCAAAAAAAGTTTTTACCGGTCTTTAAAACGGGAAATGGCTAATTAATCTCGGTGCGCTTCAACTTCCTTTCCAGCATTATTAAATTGTAAAGAGGAACCTTTCTAGCTCTTTCCGCTTTCTAATAGGCCCTCAGGAAAGCTAGGCTTTGTGCAAACAGAGAGTGAAGTTTAAGACAAACTGAACGGTAGACGGAAAGATGAATCTGGACTTAATCAGTCCAACGCAAAAATAGAAAAAATCTCCTTTCCGCAGCAAATGCAAATTTTACCACAATTGCCACTCATCTCGCAATCTGATTGGCTAATTGCCGTTGTCGATAAGAGTCCAGACAACGCTGCTCGCGTCAATGTGTCACGCAATGCCTTTTTCAGCTCGCACTCTGAAAAAAACCTTTTCTTTGACGTTGATATTGTGGTAAAAAACAAATTGAATGTGGTTTAGCGTTGTCTGTACTCTTATCGACAACCATATGCAACATCACAGTGGTCAAAATTTGTTGTTTTGACCACTGTGATGACGCATATCGTTGTCGATAAGAGTACAGACAAAGCTAAACCACATTCGATTTGTTAACTTTCTCACTTGTGTATAAATGGCTAAAAAAACCGAGGGCTAAGGATTAATTTTTGCCGTTTGCCTTAAGCCGTAAACATTATTCTTAATCTCATTGACAACTAAAAGCCCTAGTAACTATATGTACGTCACGCGGATCTATTTTCCTCTTAGCATGACAGGAAGTCGAACCTTAGCCAGCGTCTAAGTCACGTTTCTGATGTTAATGTAGTGTTATCATAGTGCCAATGATGCAGAACACGTTTGTGATAATAGCTTCGGTCAAACTACTTGACACTGAGCTTCGCTTACGACACGCTTTTTTTTTTTTTTTGAAGCCACTAAAAATAACTTTGATTTGTTTTATAAGACGTAAGGCAAATAGATCATGATAAGCCTCGAAAGCTATATCCTGTATGTTCGACGCATGGTCTCCAACCTTTAACCGTTAAAAATATACTGTATATGGCGCGCAAGTCGTAAGCCGCCTTATTCGCCCGAGGGGGGAATGGGCCAGTAAGTATTAGTTAACATGACTGATAAACACAACACAACAATAATCAGATTTGTGTCTATGCTAATGCTGATAGGGAGTTAAATTTGAGGTGTTCTCGAATTTTCGACTAAAACGCCAGCATGAAAGTGTGCTATAAACAAGAACTTTCAGCTTTCAGTTGCCGTCCGTGAAACCTTTGGTCCCTTCGTAGCCGTCGTTTGGGGTTGTTACAAAGCTCCCTCCTCCACCATAACGTGACGACAATTCCAACGTCCGCTGATGCAAGGGGTGTGTCCGAGCTTAACCCTAATTTATTCCTTCAATGAGCTTTGACGTATTCAATTGATGGAAGTCCCGTTATATTTATCTTCAGCGTTACTTTACAACGGTGAATTTTACTGCCCAGTGAAGTTATCCCGCAGCTAACGACAGACACTGTGACAAATTTACTACCAACTCACGCAAAACACATGAAAACAAGGTAAGAGATGTGAATTATACAACACTTATTGATGCATAAGCCCCCAAAGTGATTTCCTTATGAGATAGAATGTGATTCCAAAATCCGAACACTTCTCGCACTCTAGGGAAAATATCTCTCCCTAGTAGCTCATTTTCAGGCTCTGCATGGCCCCAAATTAAACTTTATCTTCAGATGCTTGTAGGGGCAAGTTAACGTTAAAGTCAAGGCTATATATATGTATATACATAACGTCCCTGAAAACACAGAGCATGGTAAAAAACATAATGCCTGTCTTTAAAGCCTCCTGGTCCATAAGCCCCGGGACTTAGAACCGACCGGCCAAATTGAAGCTGCTGCGTATTGCTACTAGGCCTGGATGGCGCTGCATGTTGTTCCATTACAGGTACCCCCCAGCATTCGGTCGAGTTTCTGTTTAGGTTACAATCCCTTGGTACTCATTTATACACCTGGATAGAGAAAGGCATTGTGAGAGTAACGTGTCTTGCCCAAGAACACAACACGATGTCCCCGGCCAGGGTTTGATCGCCAACCCAGAGACCTCCCGATATGTAGTACAGGAGACTAACCACGCATTGGGCACCGTGGCTTACTATTTCCTGATCTTGCGGAATCCAATTTACAACAATTTAAGAAACTGAAGATAGTTTTCAAAAGTCGCTTTTCAGGAAGTCCCACGAGGTCTAAAAATACCGGCTCCTGTGTACATTCAGAATCAGTACCCTGAAGAAAAAAAACCATATTTTATAATGGCCTCTATTTGATATATGCCAAACGAAAGTGCCAGAAATGAACCTTCTTTACTCTTTTGTCACTGTGGGTTTTATAAAATTATTTTGATTTTCAAGCTTTTGCTTTCTTTTTCTTCATTTTTGCCAGCAGAGTCATCTGTAGATTAAAGATGCGTCGAGAAAGACGAGATTACTTGAACGGCATTGCGACTTTACGAAAAGAATCTACCCTTTTTCGATTCTTGACCTGAAAAAAATGGATCAGTGAAAACCCGCGTGTAAGAACCTGCTGGAAGACTAGAAATTTGCCATTTTAAAACCCAAAAAATATAAGCAGGTTCTTATATGTGGGTTACAGTTAAGTTATGACAAACATTTTAACCAAGGAGTGTGACCTTGAGATTGCAAATTTATATTACAAGAAAATGCATAATCCATGCAGTTGTGAACAAATACTTTATATTAAAGGACCAAACCCAAGTTTATTTGTTTTTCTGGTACTCAACAACTTTATCTCTTTCATAGAAATTGGGAACTTAATTAAGAACCAACTTAGGCCAAATTACCAATAACTACCCCAAAGTAAAAGAACCGGGGTTTTTACTGTAACTTTCGTTATAGTCGATGAGCAAAACAAGGATTAAAAACCGCTTCGTGCTCAAAACTCGGGCTCAAACCAGCTGCTTCGGGCTTATCAGTAATAGGATCAATCTTTTACATTCGAAGCACGCGAACATCACGTCTACGGGTCTTTACGCATGAATTATCACATAGGAAGACTTCCGTTCAATCTACTTCCCGAATTTCCAGTTAAAGCAAAACGGAATTTGCTGATTCTGGGAATTATTTTCCCTTCTTCCAAGAACCCTAAAATGCACTGAGGCTGTACGTGTTAAAAATTAGAAAAAGGGATTTAATTCCTCCTGCATGCTGAGTGTAAAAACTCATTCCATACATACAAAAACTTCAAATTCCAGTCTCGAAACTCGAATAAGAGATGCTCTTCGCTTTGTTTCATGATCATACGAATAAGCTGATTTATTTTTTTTTCCTTCTTGCAAGTACTCTGCGCAATATTTACTTCAAGTACTTATATTATTTAAAAACTGAAATGACTAATAACGCGTTTACGATCCGCGTGGCACGTGCGTTATTGACGTCAAAGTCATGTTTACAAGCTTAAAACGTCATTTATGCGAGATGTTCCGGTCAAATGCGCGTAGTGATTCTGATAGTCAGTTTGCGGACGTCTGCAACCAGTACTTTTAAAACTTCAGCCGTATCTTTCTACAGCACCGTAAAATTCTTAAGGTATCGCCCGCACGTGCATCAACCGAAACCAAACAAAAGGAAGTAAAACTTGATAGCATATGATCAGAAGGTAAGAGCAGACACAAGTCTATAACTCATGATATCTATATCAATTACTAAAAAAACCTGAGTTCCAGATTATGTCCTGCTGGGAAACGAGACCTCAGTTAAAGAGGTTTTCTTGGAACAGCTCTTGATGGCTTAAATCGTACAGAAGTTTTTGTAATAGCTGTCTTGAAAATTACACATTTTCCTCTGTAGTAAACCCATTCAGTTATTTATTCCTTATCGTATTTCACTGCTTTCAAAAGTTCTGTTTATCTTCACAATATGTAATTTCGATTGTTTCAAGAAAGACATGACGAAGAAATTAAAATAAAATCGCAGGCACACATTCGCAGTCAGCGTAGTTTCAGTGTAACGCAATGAAAATTTAACTTGTGGTAAGAATATAACGTAAACAAAGGTGATAAACATTGCCTATGGTAATTTCTTCAAAGTAAAGGGTATACGGGATCCCCCGGCCCCAGCATGTGAGATAGGCCGGGCCCCACCACCAGATATCGGAAAGATTCTTGCATTCTCAAAATTTTCAGGGTCGTGTATTCCGAATCTCCTCAACTGAGCGTGAGGTATGCAAATAACAGTCATTGCACTAAACTGGAAGTAGAAAAATGGATATTTCTAGTCCTGGAGGATATTATTGCTAAGATTCTTTACATGTTTTTGTACTAAGGCACGTTTCTTCGTAAATATATTTTTTTTCAGTTTATCAACTAACCAACAATATTCTATGGCATTTTAAAATTGACATTTAAACTCGTTACCAGTTTTGTCCCCTTGACAAACTATGTCGCATGAAACGAAAACTTAAAAAGTGATTTGAAACATTTGAAATACTTTGAAAACATTCGAGAGTTCGTCTATCGTTGGACAAGATTTAATTGATTGCAGAAATAATCACTTAAACTCTGGCAAGCGAACAGAAAATTAAGTTATAAATTTCCATTACACTGGATGGTGTAATTGAGATGGTAACTCGAGAATAGCGTCACATTCCACGTTAGCGTGACTAACCCAGCCCAATTAATTCAGACAAAACATGATCTTCAACTATGTGATGCTTTGATGCACAAAAAGTTCAGATCTGTAAGTCACCGAAGAGCTATCGTTGGGTTACAATCATTAGAGCGTGTTTTCACGAGAAGCAGTCTTTATAACGTTTTGCCCTTTATGCTGCATGTCCTTGGTTGAAAGACGAATTTAGATGAACTAACTTACAGGTACAGCCTTTCTTTTATATCTCTCTCAGTTAAGCGGAAATGACAACTATTATTTTAAACACGATTTCGAGAAATCACGGAAACCAAGCTACATTATACAAAACACAACTGGGTTTAACGGTTTTATTACGAAAACACTACTCAAGAGTAACAGACATCCATTACGGAGAAAGGACGGCAAACGACCGCGAGGACAGAGGAAATACATACTTCATTCTGACGTTCTCATGTTTTGCTTGAATTCTCTCGAAATTTTGGCCGCACACAACTTCTAAATTCTTTGTGAAACTGTGGGAACTAAATTCATGAACATATTAGAGCTTTGGATGCATTTTCCTTCAAAGGAATTAGTGATTAGGCAAAAACAAACTGAGGAAGCTCATTTAAACAGATATCAAACATTGTGTTTTCTTTACGCCAAATAAAAACATGTTTCGTCCTTGTCTCGAAACTAAAATCATGCCATGACGCACAACTTTCTTTAAAGCAATATTTTGTTAAGTTCTCCTATATCAGAATTTATGTGAAAGTAATTTAAATATTGTTCATTACAATTTAACGTTTCAGGGTTGAAGTGTACATTTATGTTGTGCACAAATACATCCACAAACGGACATAAAAAAATTTTATTCGCGCAGAATAGCACACATTAGGTCAACAATTTGACCCTTGCGAATTTGCACAATCTTTATTGGAATGCTGAAAGCCACTCCAGTGGTAGATAAGTTTTTAAACAGGTCACCCAAAGCGAGAAAGAGAAATTTCTAGGTACGCTGGGAGAGTCCCCTTGTAAACTATCACAACAATGGTATTATAAAAATCTGGGCCGATTTTATAGAGATTTCAGTCATGTGTCACTTGTGGCAACTTAATTTCCGTGCCGTAACCGATAAAATGTTCTCTCGACTTTTCGTCAATCAGCCAAATCCACTTTTCTGTCAATTAAATTAGAAGCCTGCCAATTTGAACTCCAATGACATTGCCAAACCCTGTAATCTTACGATTCCACACATTCTAGCTGACTGTAAGTTCTTTAAAAGACTCGAGACTAAACGTCTTGAGAGCTTTGAGAATATTTACCTCTTTCGGGCAAAGTAGGATCAGGCAACTCCTCGAAGCTTTCTCTTCGCGATGAAATCCGCCGTCTTGAAAATTTAGTAAGTTTCGGAAACTTGGAAGGAAAAGACCGGAAAACGATGTAATTTTTTTTAATCGGATTTCTAACAAGCACAAGACTTCTCGCAAAGTGTAATTGTGTGAATCAAAACTTGTAATTCGACTGCCGACGTTTTCGAAAGTAGAGAAGTAATTCGTGCGTCTTTGGGAGTGTTACAGACAAAAGTAAGAACAACTTACAAGACGTGACTGCGTGCACTCCAAACCGCGTTCTTAAATTTTATCAATAATTCTTTTTAGAGCTATCTTGAAGTTTAAAACTGCGGATGATTTAGAGATCAGCTTTACTGAAATAATTCGGCACCGGTTCCGGTTTTCGGCAAGCGATAACATTTTTGGCGTCGATTATTTTTTAACGGAAATCGTCGACGAGAAACACAAGAAAACGTTGTTTCGGTAGAGATCTCAGTCGGTCAAAGCAGGGAACTTAACCGGCCCGTAGTGTTTGTTGAGGGTCTCAATGGGGTGGTGTCTTTTACGGGCTAACGGTTCATATTTTGGCTTTTGACGGCTAACAGTTAATTTATTTTCCGTACGGTTTAATAACGGACGTCTTAGAAATTGCCTACCAATGTTTTCGAAACTTAAAAATTAATTTTCATTGACTGCTGTAAAACATATTTATGGTTATTGAATCATTCCGGGATGGAAAAAAGGTATTATTACTTTGGTAAGATTTGGTGACGAATAGAAAGTCTCCCGGCTTTTTCTTTTATCACCATGCCACAAGACATGGTTTACCCCATTGAGACCCTCTTTGCGTTATACAGGGCAAAAATTGATGAGCACATGGAAGAGAAAAAGAAGAGCTTAGAATTCCTGTTTCTTGGGCCCATTCACGATCAAGACTGTGCCTAGCGTTATCCTGGTTTACTTCCCGGGGGCGGGGGGAGGGGAAACTCCCATGTAAAAAGGACGGGGTGTTTGTCGTACCTTTTAGGGGTTAAAAACGCGGTTTTAGTACCTCTTAAGGTGTTCAGCCTCAAGGTCCACAGCGGGAGCTTTTGCGATACCTTTTAGGGAACTGAGCCGAAAAAATACGACAGGAGGTAATGTGATCTTCGAGAACTGGTACCTCTTGCTAGTAAAAGACATTTCAAGCCACACCAACAAATCAGGATCATGGTACCTCTTAGGGATTATTTTCAAAATTTCCAAAGAGCACACCCGTCCTGTTTAGACAAGAGTCTCTTCCCCCCGGGTCTTCTCACGCATATCTTGTTTCGTGGCAGACCTCGTTGATTTTGCTTTTTTGTTATGGATAATCTAATTATTGATCTAATCATCAGTTTGTCATCAGAAACAAATGGAGAAGGTTTACAGACTGCATATTTCAGCTTGGTTATTCAGCCTCATGGCAGCTGTAGTCACAGGTAATCTTGGTTAAAATGTTTGGTCAGATTTTTCAGCTTTCGACAACGTTTATCAGAGGCACAACACATCATTCCTGTTCGCTTTTGACTGGAAACAAANTTCTCACGCATATCTTGTTTCGTGGCAGACCTCGTTGATTTTGCTTTTTTGTTATGGATAATCTAATTATTGATCTAATCATCAGTTTGTCAACAGAAACAAATGGAGAAGGTTTACAGACTGCATATTTCAGCTTGGTTATTCAGCCTCATGGCAGCTGTAGTCACAGGTAATCTTGGTTAAAATGTTTGGTCAGATTTTTCAGCTTTCGACAACGTTTATCAGAGGCACAACACATCATTCCTGTTCGCTTTTGACTGGAAACAAAAGCGATATTCCTAGTCATGACGTCATCGAAGAACAACAGGAAATTGTTAAATGAATGTTGAGTGATTGTTGTGCCATACACTAGACCTTTTTAACTTGCTTGTCTGAAATGGGGCAACAAACCGTTCAAACTAAGAAGGTCTATTGGGCGCAACGTTGCAAATTGAAGAAGCAATTATGTCTGGAAGGGTACAGTTCAATTTAGACATTGTGGGCCATGTTGCAGTGTGTCCAAGATTTAATTATTTTAACCTTCAAACTCAGTGGTGTCGTGCCGATTGCAGCGACCAGAACAGAGGCACAAATCCAAGAGAATGAAAATTTGAATAGTAGTTATTATTTGTTTGCATTTCTTTCAGCTACAAGCAAACAACCTCCAATGATCACAAAGTTTGCACAAAAGGATTTGGTCAAACCAGATGATGTAACTACAATGACTGGCTTTAAGCTTCCCTGCGAGGCATCCGGGACAAACTTAACTTGGACCTGGAAACATAATGACAAAGAGATCATCTACTTTTATGGTATACCTTATTCCCTCAGTGAAGACGGCACTTTGATTGGACAATTTTTATCATCAAAACATGGAGGAACTTATCAGTGTTTCGTGAAGGACGAAGAAACTGGTGTTGAAGTTTTCAGTAGAAAGCTTCAAGTTGCCGTAACAGGTAAATTATCAATAAATACAATCGCTTTAATTGCGTAATACGGGCAAGATTTTTTTTCCAACTTGCCATGCAACAATGTAGCATTACAAGTTTTGTAAGAACGTGCGTAAATGAAGCCAATTTAGCTTTAAATCTTTATATTGATGTCGTTTACTTTTACTGTCAGACCCGGCCTCGAAGTAAATAGAAACGGTTATAACACTGGGCTGAAGTCCCTGCAACGGTCACGTGGCAAAAAATCTCAGCGCAAGCTTAGGGGGGTCCAATTGACTTTTGACGGGGTGTTAGTGGTCTGGTACAATCGTGATTTTTTCACCGTTTCATACACTAGGAAATGTTTTTCTCAGGACGTGTGTACGCATTTTTTCCTTCTCCGTGTAACATGCTTTTTTTCGGCAGTGGTCTTGAGCATGAAATTTTTTTCTCAAAAGTCAAGTGGTCCACCACTTAGCAAACATATTTGAGTTTACATTTTTTTTTTCCACTTAGCAGATTGTTCACCTTTAATAATACAAATTTATTATAACAAAAAACCTCTGTTCTTTGTCAGTTGTTGGAAATTTTATCAACAAAAAAGATGTGGTGGAAAAGGTCGATCTTGGACAGTCTTTCCAATTTCGATGCCCTCAGCATACAGCAGGGTTCGGTGCATTTTACAACTGGTTACAAAATAAATGGGACACCCATTTTTCACGAAATGAACGCCGAGGGATTTCACCAGATGGTACACTCTTTATCACATATGTTACCCAGGAGGATATTGATGATATCGACGAGTCTGAAGGAATCAAGTGTCGAATGACTGCTGGGAATTCTTATCAGAATTCTGGAACATTGAAACTTGAGAAGAACAATCCAGAACAGTCAGGTAAAGTTAGGCCAAAAAAGGGCAGGAAATAGTCCGTCAATTCCCTGGGATAAAAGGGACAGACACATACCCAGGGGGTAGATTTAGTAGCCCCCATCCCCCGTGGTCCCGCTCGTATTGCTGGAAAATCTACCACGCGAAGGTTCAATCTGCCTTTCAAGAAAAATAGTTAGTCGATTCCGTAGGATAGAAGGGCAGATACATGCCTAAAAATAGATCTAGGAGCCCCCATCCCCCATGTTCCCGCTCGTATTGCTTGGAAAATCTACCACACAAAGGATCATTCTGCCCTTCCAGAAAATAGGTTATTTTCACTCATTATCGCCATATCCTATAACATTAGTGACCTTTAGACTGAATCAAGGAACTGAAATACGAGTACGATTTGCGAATTTAAAAGCACTGACATTTCCAGAGCCCTCGCTCTTCATGTTGGTTTAAGGTAGAGTGGGTAGCTCATGGGATGAGATGGGTATGTGACGCGTGATAATGTGAAGCCTGCAAACTAGGATTGGAAAGTCGTACTTATGTTCGATCTCGTACTCGTGCTTAAAGTGAAATTCCTCAAATGAAAGGGGGAGTTGTAAATTGAAGGGTTTTGCTTAAGAACAAGTCCCAACCAGATCAAAGCCAGACTCATAATGTGAAGCTGTAAACTAGAATGTACCTTTTTAGCTTGGGTGGTTTGTTTTCTCATTTCAGACCATGTAATATTCTCCAGAGAATTGTTCTTTTATCCATCTGAACATTATTCAGTCATATTGACGCAACTATATAAAACTTTTAAAGCAAGACTTCTCAAGAGTATCATCACATGGTCTGAAATGGGACAACAAACCGCCCAAACTAAAAAGGTCTATTGAAAAGTCCTAATCTTACTAGATCTCCTACTCGTGCTCAAATCTGAAGTCCCCTAACTTGTTAATTTATTCTTTCGACTTTTAGTTAGTGAACTTACAAGTAAAGAACTTATTAATCTTTCCCCAGACCCCAACACTAACATTTTGCCTAGCTGGGCAGAGGTTCCCGAAAAAGAACAAATGGCCATAGAAGGAAAAAGTAAAACCCTCTATTGTATGGCTTATGGAAAGTAAGTATGCCTTGTCTCGTGAAATATAACGAGAGTAATTACATACATCGTGGATAAGCTGTCCAATTCAAGGAGAGCATAATGTCACATACACTGCATACGTAATTAATGAACTATTAGATTATTCACTCTTGATTTCTATCGCGTGATAGTTGGCAAGGGTGCAGCTTTCTCACACAGGCACTTTAGAAAACTCAAGGAAGCGGCCGCCATTTTGTTTGCAACCGCACACTGCTAGGGTACTCACTATCTACAACAGAATAGATAGTGAGTAGCGTAACCTATAAGAGAACGGAATTCGTGTTAGAACGGTAATACGTAATAACATCGGAGAAAAGGTACTTTTTCAGTCTTGATATCTGATGGTTGTTTGGGTGCAACTGCGACGGTTGAAAATCACAGCATTGAATTTTGTGTGGTGACTTGTCATTTAGTTATTAACCAACAAATTAACTCGAATCTAAAGTAGCTTGAGTACGAACGTTTTATAAAAGCTTGAGATTACTTTGTTCATGATAATTAATGATTTATAGAACACATTACTTGCAGACCGCCACCCACCATAACTTGGAAGAAAAATGGACGACAGATTGTCTCTGGGCAGAATTCCTTTGAGATCCCAAGCCACTACCATGGAAGACTTCTGACCATCACTAATGTGAGCAAGACAATTCATCAAGATGTGTACACTTGTGAGGCTACAAATTCTCTGAGTAATGATCAGCCGTTAATTCGCACCATCAACTTGGTAGTGAAAGGTAACTAGCTTTTGTTATGCATGTACTTGGGGCTCCTCTAATACTTGAACGTTTACTTGACTTTCAACGTGAAGTATTCGAATGATTTGCACTCGGAAAAAACGAGGCATAATAAACAGTACCTGTTTAAGTGCGGTCGATAGCTTTTATTGGAATGGTCGTACTCGAAGGATTCATGCACAAACGAACAATCTTGCACTACTCGGTAG